ACTGGCTAGAAATAGTAAAGAGAGTAAATACAAATTGGTAGATGCAGAATAGTCACGGTATGTAAAGTACAGCATAGAGAAATATAATAACTGTGTATGGTGCCAGTGGGTACTGGCACTATCAGGAAAGCCCTTTATAAAGTATATGATTGTCTAACCTCTATGCTGGTACATGCTGTACTCCAGAAACTAATACAAAATAACATTGAATGTAAACTGTAATTGGGAAAAGAAATGTTTAAACCCTCCTGATATAGGAACTGAGAGAAAGGAGTGCGGGAGATTTTTCATTATCACAGTCTTTGGGATTAACTATTTGGAATATAAATCAAGAAAAAAAAAATTTAAAAACACAAAGGAAATGTGGGGGTGGGGGGGGAGTTCTCAGGGATGCAATCTTAGAGGGAAAGCGCAGAGGCAGGGAGCTCCACAGTGGCCCTTACCGGGATCCCTCAATCTGGACCACGCTCTGCCCGAAGCTCCTCGCATTCTCTTGAAAGATCACGGGGTTTTCGGTGTCCAGGTTGAACCCATGACATAAGGCCAAGGCTGGAGGGAAAACAGAGGGTGACGGTCAGGAGGAGAGAAGGACATAGTGAAGGGAGCAGTTCGTCCTGCTCCATGCGTCTTCCTGTGGGATCCACCCCCACCCAGCACGGAGATGTGGGGCTCCCGCACGCAGCTCTGAGAGCCTGGGCCAGAGCTCAGCACCCTCTTCCCACCAAGGACCCGATAGTAACAATGTTAGGCTCTGTGGGCCCACAGGCAAGTAAAGTATACTATGTACTTACATCATGTATGTCATGTACTTATATGTATTATATAGGTAGGTACTCATACACAAGAGAGCAAATGCATTCCCACAGATTTTTCATTGAGGAGATTCAAAATATAATAATGGAGTACACTTTTTGTTATACAAATTTGCTAATGACACAAAGGGAATTCTTTGGGGGAGATGACATTTCTCACTTCACTGGGATTAAATTAGTGTTCCCGAGCATGAACCAATTATAAATGTCCATCTGCAACCCAAGGATCACAGGCCATACACGTCGGTGACGGAACCCTTGCCTTATGCCCATAGACCTCGGTGGCTGACTCATAGCCTAGCCCACCAATGTGGGGTGCTTCCTGCACCTCTCTGAGCCCCACCCTGCTGATTTGCCCAAGATCAAGTTCCCAAATCTCGGTTAGGCAATTTCCTTCCCATGCAACTCTCAAGCATTTCAATCCCAGTTTTTGGCTCCTTCACCACAAAACACAGGCATAAAAGAAAACAAACTTAAATCATTTGATCCATCCGTCATTCCACAAACATTTACACCTGGGCCCGTAGAAAAGGGAACTGCAGGCAAAGTGGTGGTGAGGTGGGATCCAAGAAGAAACACAATGAGCAG